CGCGTAGGAAGAGAGTTATAAGACAAATTGATTTCTTTGATTCCATCAAAGGGAAAAGATCTTGGGGAAAATGTTGTTGTGGAAAACAACAAACGTTCCGTGCTAGGAGTACAAAGTTCTTCGAAAGCATAGTAGTGGCCAAGTAGCTACATGGTTAAATACTAGGTCACCATTGTTTTAGCTGTACCTTTCTTTATAAGGAGCTATCCAAAGAAAAGACAATTCATCAAATTGGTACGAATAGTCGAGGTAAGGAGCAGGATGAGTGATACATCCGGCGACTTCGGTGAAGAACGCAAGGAACGCTGGGCTCAGGTATTGATATATTCCACTGAGTGAAAGGAGTAAGATGGGTAAGAAGGCCGACCACATAAGAAGAGTGAATCAAAAAGCTTAGCTTTTCATGTAAGTTTGATTGGACACTCTTGACCGTTGAATAAAAAAAAAATTNAAATCTTTCTAGATTGCCACAATGTCATATATCAAGTAATATTCATTACAATGATAATAGTAAGTTATCATTAAGACGCTATATCATGAATCGATAACAAGAAACCCTATATATATCAGAGAGAGAGAGAGAGAGACTATACATATGTAACATGTTATTGTTCAGATCGATACTATGTGTTAATGATGATTTCCTATCATTCTTTTGTCAAACATTCTAACAGATCGAAGTTGACAGAACGGACCAAAAATTTCTATCTGCAGTTTTTCCCCTGCATGTTATTCGTCATGCAACATCTAGAGCGAAATTGCTTATGAAATTCAATGGAATAGATTTCAAATAGGGCTGTCAATTTTACTTATTAACACGAACCCGACCCAACAAAAAATTTGAAAATGACACAATTAGTTGACACGAGTAATAAATGGATCAAATTAAAGTTAGACACGAATAACACAATAAAAGGATATTGTAAATATAAAATAAGTATCTAATGAGTATTGTAAACAGAAAACAAATATTTTATAATTTTTAATATATGAATTGTTGTTAAATTAGATAATTTTTTATTGACAAAAACTCGACACGTATCCAAAGTAATACAACACGAAAATGACACGAAAGAAAGTGATACAATACGAAAATGACACAATACGAAAATAACATAAAGAAAAATGATACGACACGATACGAATGACATAAAAACTTTGTAATTCCCAACATAACCTTCATAGTTTATGTTTGGGTTTCTTCTATGAAATTGCCTGTGAACAATTCCAAAATCCACAACTTCAAGCAGTCATTTATCATCAGAAACTGACATATTTTTACGCGTATATATATCAACTTCATGCAGCGATATGAAAAGATTATAAGAAAATCGTAATCTTTCCTACGCGTAGGAAGAGAGTTATAAGACAAATTGATTTCTTTGATTCCATCAAAGGGAAAAGATCTTGGGGAAAATGTTGTTGTGGAAAACAACAAACGTTCCGTGCTAGGAGTACAAAGTTCTTCGAAAGCATAGTAGTGGCCAAGTAGCTACATGGTTAAATACTAGGTCACCATTGTTTTAGCTGTACCTTTCTTTATAAGGAGCTATCCAAAGAAAAGACAATTCATCAAATTGGTACGAATACTCGAGGTAAGGAGCAGGATGAGTGATACATCCGGCGACTTCGGTGAAGAACGCAAGGAACGCTGGGCTCAGGTATTGATATATTCCACTGAGTGAAAGGAGTAAGATGGGTAAGAAGGCCGACCACATAAGAAGAGTGAATCAAAAAGCTTAGCTTTTCATGTAAGTTTGATTGGACACTCTTGACCGTTGAATAAAAAAAAAATAAGCTTTTTTCCAGATAAATTATTGTGATCCAAATTTTTTGGGGGTAAATTACTTTTGATTCAGTGTTAAAATCATGAGTAATGCTACTATTCAGACCTTGATGATGTGATTTTATTAACACTATTAAATGAAAAAAATTCTAATATTTGATAGAATTCACAATCAATCCAAAAATTATAATAAATCAAGTCAGCAAATAAGGTCACATTTTTAAGTCCACATAATATTACTCTAAATTCATTGGTTTTTTAAGTTTCATTACGTCTGAGTAAACAAATGCTAAAAAATAGGTTATTAAGAGGCAGCAACACATCTTTATTTTTGTTCTTATACATACCTCGACTAATCTTTTTTTCGGTCTGGTCATAGATAGGTCATCCATGTTGGGATTAGGGTATTTATGAGGGATCATGGTCTGGTCCCAAGAGGTTGGCAAGATTAGAACTCAGTACGTTTGTATGTCTGAACTAGAATATTTATGAGAGATAAATATCTCATGATCTAACACTAAAAGATTAGAAAGATTCGAATTCAGAACGTTTATGTTTACATGTCATTTCTATTATCACTTGAACTACTCTTTGGGGTTACAAACACATCCCTTTTATTTACTTCGATTCCTACCTAGAAATTAATGGAGTGAGAATCTCTTTAATATATTTTTTTATTCAATTTTTAAAAAAAACCGATCATCTAATCATAAATTTAAATGATGGCCCGCTATTTATGAACGAGACCCTTTACTCATCTGTGATTGAGTGCAATTAAGAAAAAAAAATGTATTAAAGTCGAGCTACATCCGAAATTAACCTGATGAATGTACCCTTGGGTGAGATATTGCCTCCATTTTGTTCAATTCCTTGCCTTCAAGTCGTCTTTTTGAAAATAATAATAATAATAATAATAATAAAAGTTGTCTTCTTCCTCATTTTGGATAAGAGCCGTAACCATGGGCTGGGCGAATTTGACACGGATATGAAAAGCTGGGGGAAAAAAAAGGCCCATGGGCCGGGTTGCAATATAACTGAATTTTAGGTCTTTAAGGCTTCTACTTCTATTAAGTAGAGACACGAGTTAAATATGATCGTCCAGGGATAACTCAAAAGGCCCAACCCATTCAGACAATAACCGCCTTACATGCAAAAAGTGGAGTTTGCTTCCACAATTATTTATTTATTATTAAATCGTTATACCACGTGACAATATTGTCATAATATAACTATTTGACTCAATATTTAACCATATTTACTCATAGCTAAGACAGTTGGTCCATTGCAAGTAAACTGTGCTTCACCTATTCACCTATGATTCGGGTGTGATTCTGAAGCGTAGGCCCAGCCCAATTGAAAAAGGCCGTCCTTTTCAGGTTTTTAAACATCACTGTGGCAAATGAATGAAGCCAAATTTTGAATCATCTTTCATTACAAAAATATAATATATTATATGCTAAATACTTAAAAAAGATGATGTTTTTCAATGTATTGAACAAAAAATTAAAACACCCCATTATAGACAAAGGAGGGTGTTTCTGATATAAACAATTAAAACACCCCATTGTTTTGTTAGTAGCACAAAATATTTTTTCAAGAACCAAATTATTATTATTTTTATTATTTTGCTCGTCAAATTAAGGGGTGAGAACAAAGGAGAACGGTTAGAAACCACTCTGATAAACCTTTATTGGTGGGATCATAATACCACCNATTTTTTCAAGAACCAAATTATTATTATTTTTATTATTTTGCTCGTCAAATTAAGGGATGAGAACAAAGGAGAACGGTTAGAAACCACTCTGATAAACCTTTATTGGTGGGATCATAATACCACTGATCGCGTTCATTACTACTCTTGAGAACGAACTTAATTAGATTAATATAACGATTAACAACTGAGTTTCAATATGGACCTTAAGACTTGAATCTCCGACCGCAAGGTAAGAAATTTGACCGATTTATATAATCTACACATTTAGTCGGCATCAAAGGATTTTGAGGTATTTCTATAAGAAGAAGAAAAGGAAAAGGAAAACTTAATTGGTTATTAAGACTAAGTTTGTTCAACTAAAGGATAAGAAAGTGTTTAATTGCTTGAATTGTTTCAATCCATAAATAAAATAAAAGGACAAAGTTTTTATAAACACCGTGCATCGCTAGTTCTTATACTATATATTTAGGTGGGAGTTGAAAATAGTGTTGTGGTAACTCATACGTGCACCGGAATTTCCCGAGGAATGTGTCAATTGAACAACCAAAATCTTTCATTTCTTTGGGAAATTGTAATTTTTCCACACAGATCACCCAACTGTTCAGTTTTCCGGTGTAGAGGTTCGATCCATGCAAGGAAAAATCATAAACAAGTACCTACACCTCTTTTGGATTTCTTACTCTATACCTCAATTTCTTTCNATGCAAGGAAAAATCATAAACAAGTACCTACACCTCTTTTGGATTTCTTACTCTATAGCTCAANAACTGTTCAGTTTTCCGGTGTAGAGGTTCGATCCATGCAAGGAAAAATCATAAACAAGTACCTACACCTCTTTTGGATTTCTTACTCTATACCTCAATTTCTTTCTTTCTTTCTTTCTTTTTTTCAAGTTTAACGGTCAGAGGTGTTCAAACTTACTTACGCACACCTTGACTACTCTCCTCTTTAGTGCCAGTCAAAAATGAATCACCCACGTCGAAACTAAAGTATTCACAAGAGTTAAATTTCTCGNTTGGATTTCTTACTCTATACCTCAATTTCTTTCTTTCTTTCTTTCTTTTTTTCAAGTTTAACGGTCAGAGGTGTTCAAACTTACTTACGCACACCTTGACTACTCTCCTCTTTAGTGTCAGTCAAAAATGAATCACCCACGTCGAAACTAAAGTATTCACAAGAGTTAAATTTCTCCCTACTATAAGATACTTTCAAATGTAACAATAAGATAATGCTGAAGAATAAGGAATATGGATCACCTATGTTGAAGTATGAAGAATTAGAGTCGATCTTTTCCTCCAGAAATGTGACACTCGTGAAATTAACTCAGGGCCTAGATTGTGGGAGCGCCAATAATAGAAAACTATGAAAAAAAATGATCGATTAGCATCTGCAGATATCATCACAAGAAGGAGCTTTTGCAGAGTAAACAACTTGATTAGAACAACTTGTAACATTATTATGATTATAAGGATCAAAACCTTGATACGAAGATCATCATACAGTGTCACATATTAACACCAGGTTACAGAGGATGGAATAACACCATCACCTAAAAATAATCAGATATTGAACTGCAAAAATAAGAAACTGCAAACGGATACTACTACATTTAGAATCAAGTATAAACTCCCTCGAGTATCAAATGTCATCCTACTACCAATCACCAACGCTAACATTACTGATCCGCCAAAAAGGGAAGCCCATCTTGAAGTCTTCTTTACCAGAAAAACGCACTTGTAGGTGGTAACAGTGGGAAATAACTTCACATCTTCGCGGACACAGCAGCAGGAGCAGGAGCAGGAGCCACACCTCCAGTAGTTGGCCTGTAAAAGAGCAATAGTTCTGTTATCATTTTTAGTGAAAACATTACAGCCACACAAGGAACTTGCTAATGAACAGAAAAACCTCCATGCAACATGCAAATGGCAATAGAAGAAATCATTAATATTTGAAAAAAAATTGCTAATCAACCGCAGCAAATCTAGGGGTAGAAACTTACAGCCCAACAAAAACTTTAAAAGCATCATAGATACCCCACTGAGCTCCAGTAAGGGTTCCGATCATGACTATACGAAGAGGAAGACCACGAGTACACAGTTCCCATAAGCCCATCTTCTTCACAGCCTGCAACACATAGATTGCAATAAAATAAAACAAGCTATTGTAAAATAGAGAGACAATTGATGGTGGAAATGGCTATCTATCACTCACATCACCCACAGTTGCCCCCTTGGCATTGTTGAGAAAAGAGACCAGGTTATCAGCAGGGTGTGATACGATGGCACAGAATACACCCGCAACATATCCACCAGCAAAACTCACTCCAAGCTGAAAAGGCTTGCTACACTGTTCTTTTGGAGTTGGGATAGCGTACTTGTAAAGGAGCTCCACAATAGTCTCAAAAGATGCAAACTTCATCATTGTATCTGTGAAAATCCCAGTTTATTATCAGTAGGCCACACAAGAATGGGTTATCAAACACGAATCTCGCAGAAAACAATTCATGACGTAAACCAAGCTATAGGCAAATGGACAAATTGCACACACAATCCCCCAAATGTTCCCTGTCTAAAATTATGTCTATTGGACACCAATACTTACTGAATGCATCCATGATTTATCAGAATTCAGAAACTAGAGAATACCAAATATTTGCAAATATCCCAGATTCAGATGCCAACTTTGGAAATGCAAAAGACCATAAGAACACCAGTGAAACCAACAAATTTGAGAATCAACACTCAAATTAAGATAGTACACCACCGTGATTAGCAATAGGTATTGTAGCTGAATGCATTGGTAAAAAAAGATTTCGAGCTAATAACAGTAACTGTATGTCTTCGAACCCCATGGAGAAGTGAGTATCAAAAAAAAGTGTTGATTCTAATTTCTCCACAGTTCAGAGGCATAAAGTACCATAACCAGGATAACACTGACACAACCCAAGTGGATTCGAGTGAACCGTGATTTGTGTTGCATCAATTTGCAATTAATTTAACAGAAAGACAATCAATTGATCAAAAGAACACAGAAGCAGCATGAAAATATTGTTTGTATAAATGAAAGAACAAGAGGAAACTAGTAAAATTTTACAACGATGATCAAAGTTCTGTACATAGACAAGCACAACACACATTGTTGATGTTTATGCAAATGCATGACCCTCCCCTAAACACAGAGAACAATGAAAAGTAGAAACAATTAATGATACTTAGCNATGACCCTCCCCTAAACACAGAGAACAATGAAAAGTAGAAACAATTAATGATACTTATTACTTAGTNACATAGACAAGCACAACACACATTGTTGATGTTTATGCAAATGCATGACCCTCCCCTAAACACAGAGAACAATGAAAAGTAGAAACAATTAATGATACTTAGCAAGACAAATCTCAAAATTCGTGAAAACGAAGTAATCCAGAGGCTTCATTATCTTGTGGAAACCAATAAGAATAAACAGCCAACTGCTCAAACAAATCAAGTAAAACAGAATAACGTATGTACGTCAGCTTACATGGAATCTGTCGTCCCCAAAGAGGAACAATCCCCTTATAAAGCCTGTACAGTGGATAAATTTTGAAATTAGTGCTTCCAAAAAGATAAACAAAAAACAAGGTATTTTCTGGGAAAAAAGGGTGCAACTCATTATTCCTGCTTAACTAACACTCAAGGTGTTTCGAATGAGAGCCATACCCAAGAGCGCCTTCAGACTTGATAAACTTTGGAAGGCCATCTGACAGACCTCTGGCAAACCCAGGCTGAGTCTGGACACGAACCTTCACTGCCTCAAAGGGACAGAGGGCAACATCAGCAATCACCTCAGCAGATGCAGATCCCGCAAGATAGATCAAAGTTTTGTACTTGGCTGCATACTCAGGACCAGCAATATCGGAATAGTACTTCTTGAAAAATTCATAAAATCCCATCTTGCATGCGCCCTGTGCACTGTAACCAAGCAAGGTTGGCACCCAGCCCCTAAACAAACCTTTAATTCCCTGCTCCTTGAGCAATATTCCAAAACCAGAAGAAATGGTCTTGTACTTTGCAGGGTCAATCTGAGAAGTTGAATATATTAACGTTACTGTAATTTCTACATCATGGGATAATTTGTTTTTCGCAAGATCGTTAAATAAAGTCACTAAATAAGATTTATGTAATATTATTTTTTTTATCATAATCTTAACAAACCTAATCAAACATATATTCTATAAGAAATCCCTAATTCATAAAAAAAATAATTTTATAAGAGTGTCAAAAATGAGACAACATAATTTGTCAAATAATCGTTAAATTTGAAAGTTTGAGAATTTTTTGTTTAATTTAAAAATTAAGTCAATTAGTTATACTACCAATAAAAAAAGATGTTAGAAAAACTTCAATACGAATACTAAACAATTAATATGCATCTAGAAAGAAAAATTAAATATTAAAAAATTTACATTATTATTATAAAAAGTTAAAAAAAAAAACCTCAGCTTCAGGCCTCAAAACTTATCAAGCCACCCGTACACCAAGCATGAAGCATATACCAATTGTCCTGAACCAAAGATAATGTCATAGACAAACAGCAACGAGAATGTGCGATGGTTGCAACACACTATTTTGATTTTTATCATCGTGTTGTTTGAATTTTTGGAACAATTACTGTGTGCTCTCCCCATGACAGCACAACAACAGGGATAGCTCTAGTATATTTAGGTATGTATATAATCAGTTTTAAACCGTGAAGGGATATAAACAAATAAGGAAACCAAAAAATAAATTCAATCCCCATCTACAAGTTAGCTCTGTAAATAAGCTTCTGAGTCACTAATTCCCTATCCAACACGCCAGTGGAAAATCAATAAGCAACAAAGATCTAAAATATATAGCCAACAAGTCCTCAAAATTACTATACAAAAATTCGATCAAATCCAAAAAAGCTACTCATAAGAATCTGCATTTATCCACAAGTATATACGAAGGGAGATGGCAAGATAGAGAGAGGGATATGTCGAAATGGAAAAGGACCTGCATGTTACACTTGACAAGATCGAGAGGGGTGACGGACGTGTGAGTAAGTCCACAGCTGAAGACTCCACCGACGGTGCACGCGGCGTAGTATGCCGGCGAGAACATCTCGATCTTACCTGGCTCGTTCGGAGCTGGGATCACGAAGCTCTTCTTCGACGACGTTACTCCTCCATTAGATGAAATAGACGGTGAAGATGAAGAATTCAACATAATGTTCCGATTCGACATCAAGTGATCCATATCTATGAGCTTCTTGGATGCTGATGAAGACGAGTAGATGAAGCTTGGGATGAGAGATTGGCGATAGTTCTCTGAGAACGCCATTACGCGATGTGTGTTGTGTTGTGTTGTGTTTGTTGTTTAGGTTTAGGTTTCGTATCAGAGTAGAAGAATTAATGGAGAAATGATGAGAGAAAGAGAGAGAGGGCACGAGAAAAACAAGGATCTGGCTTTTGGCGGGTCGCTCCCTCTCTCGTTCTCCAATTATATAGGGAAGTCGAAAATATGTGCTTTTTCAAAGGGCTGTCTCTCCTTGGACAATGAATTATTGCCCCCTGGTCTTCGTTGAATTTACAAGAATGTCTCTCTGTCCAAAGAATTTTATGCATTGGAATTTTCCTTGCGAGTGTCCGAAAATATTATTATGTAATAAATTTATGAATAAACTACATAAATAACCTTTAACCTATAATTTTCCTGTCAATTAAGTTTTTATATTAATTGAGTCTCTAAACTTTAAAATTTTAGTAATTAAGCATCTAAACTAAATTTTATGTCAATTGAGTCTCTAAACTATAAAATTTTAACAATTAAGTCCTTTATGTTTCCAAATGTTAAGTTTTTTGACGAAATTTCTCACATGCTCAATACATGAACAACTAATTAATGGTATTTTACATTATTTGTTCGAAATCTATCAAATGAAAATTCTTATTCCTTATACTCATCAACTGAAACCCTAAACCTAAGTCTCTTTCATATCTATTAAATGACGTAGATTAGCAAACTTTTCGAAAAGACTCGATTTATATAATCTGTTTTCTACACCAAATCGAAGAGTTTGTCGATCTATTTCATTTAATGGGTGTGAAAAAAGTTTAGAGGGTCAATTGATGGGTATAAGAAATGGAGTTTTTCGTTTAATAGGTTTCAAATTAACAATTTAAAATACCCTTAATTTGTTATTTATGTGATAAGCACGTAAGTCATTCTATCAAAAAATCTAAAAATTGCTAATAGAATGGCTTAATTGCTAAAATTTTAGAGTTTTTGGGCTTAATTAACAAAAAAATTAGTTCAAATGCTTGGTTGCTAAAATTTTAGTATTTAGTGACTCAATTAATATAACAATTAGTTTCTGGACTTAATTGACATACCAGTCGTACTTTAATGACTATTTGTACAATTTACTCTAAATTTATTTGAGCTATTGATTAAGTGAGAAGACATTTAGTGTATTCATTATAAAATGTTTATATTACAACTTAACAACTCATAATTAGTTGTATCAAAATATAACTTGACTAGTTAATATTTATATAATAAAATAGATAGATTTTTTTGTTTTTAACTTTTCACGGCTCAGATTAATTGACGATTATTGATCTAACAATTCTCATACCAAATTTTTCTAAGACTCCTATCGTTTATCTAACTCTCTTTATATTTATCTTACTCTTGCTCTCATGTTATTATCTGATTTTTTTCTGTTTTTCAAGTGTTATTTTTTTATTATTTACTTTTATTCCATAAAATATATGAAACTACATGTTATGCAATTATTTATTCTATAAAATTAATTCAAAATTTTATATATCTGACAACATTTATTTTGTCACTTACTTTTTAATTTGTAAATAACACTTAATATGAATAAAAAATAGCATATATTTTTCATGAATTGAAGACTTTTTTATCTGAGTTTCACATCGTTGTCTGAAATTAGATCTAAATTGATTCAGGGTCTAAATTCTTCTAAAATTCTCATTGATAATGATTTTATATAGATTATTTTTTTAGTTTTTTTAATGTTTACTCTATTTGTTATAATTTTGGTTCTAAATTTTTTAAATTTTTTTGAACTATAAATTTTTCAAAAAAAATTTTCAACTTTGTAATTTACTTTCACTTATTTTCATGTGAATCAAAGATTTTTGTGTTTAACAAGTGGAGGTGAAAGATTCTATTAAAAAAAACAGTGGGAGTGAACAATTTGTTTGATTTAAGTATGTGTGGTCAAGTCTTTACCAAAAGAAAATTTATCAAATGATATAGTAAAGAATATGTTATGGTATGAAAAAATTTAAAATTTATGGGTTAAAATATAAATTTTTAAGTTTATATACAACAAAAAAAATTATAATTTAATGTCAATTTCATGTTGGTTTAATCAACAACAAATAATATTCAACACGAAATGAACCTCAAATTGTAAATTAATATATATTTTTATCAAAAATTGACATTTAAATTTGTCTAATTTTTATTCAACTTTGTCAAATTAATTTTTATTGTTATCAGATTAATATTAAAATTCATTTAATTAATTTTTTGGGGTATTAAATTATATCAATTTTTTGGGTACTAAATTAAATCTTATTTTATTTTATCAAATTTTTTTGGTTACTAAAGTTGGTGAAAGACAATTATAAAAATAATAATTTTTTTTGGGGATAAAATTATTACTTTCCGTTAGCAATATTGAAGGAAGGGAGACAGAAGGGATTTTTGTGCAATAAATTTTAAATTCTAGGGAATTCTGTGTTATTTATAAAATATTATGGGGTGTCCGCATAATATTGTCAAAACTCAAGGGAAGTCCGTATTTTTTACCCTATTTTTTAATTAGATATTAATTTTTTATTATTTTATCATAAAAACTTGAATTATTATATTTCTAATAAAAAACAGTTATTGATTAAAAAGGTTTGTTGGTAGCCAAAAAATAAATGTGTGAGAGTATGTATTCTATGTATATTTATATGTGGAGGATTGAAAATTTGGTAATTAAATTTATAATTTTACTGTGTCATTTGGGTTGAATGGTGATAGTAATGATAAATTCATGAGTTTTATAAATGAGTGAGATGTGGTTGATTTTATTTATTACTTAAAGATTATGAATTTAATTGCGTTATATTAGTAATTTTTTTTTCTTGAGATATTTATTACATGGGGATAGGGTGAATTGAAAACATAATAATTGTATTTATAATTATATTTTGTTATTGGATTGAGTGGTAGTAAAGGTGATAAATTCATAAGTCTTATAAATGAGCAAAATTTTATTTATTACTGAAATATTGTAAATTTCAATGGATTATGTTAGTATTTATTTTATTTTCAGAGACATTTGTATATATGGTATTGTTTTAAAAAGTTTTATATATTTTTACGACAGTTCTATTAATATGGAGTATATGATCGGNATTTTATTTTCAGAGACATTTGTATATATGGTATTGTTTTAAAAAGTTTTATATATTTTTACGACAGTTCTATTAATATGGAGTATATGATCGGCGATATATTTTGAAGAATTGATATGAATATTTTTAAGCCATTCTTTTTGAATTTTAACAATTGTGTAAGAATTTTTTATTTGTTATATAGTGTTTTTAGGTACGAATAATGGTTAATAATTATATAAAAAGACAAAAGTCAAAATGTCATCTCCCATATAATAATCAGAGACTTTCGCACTAGAATTTTGAATTTTCATGAGCCTCTGAATTTCAAATCATGGAATTAAGCCCAATACATTAATATATAAGAATTGTACTCGTCTGAATTTTGTGGCAATATCTATATAATAAAATATAATACAATTCAAATTTCAAAAATGACTTTTGCTATTCGCGATTGAGATCGCTTTAAATTTTACTTTAAAATTAATCTAATAGTCAGACTAATATTAACACTCTAAATTTAAGAGTGTATTTACAGTGACTTTTTAAAAATACTTTTAAGAATTATTTCTTATAAGTAATTTAAAAAAAAATAGTATTTAAAACTGTTTCACCTCTACCTCTACAACTTCTCACCGCTCCACCACCAACACCACTACCACCACCACTGTCACCCCCACCCCCATTGCCGGTGCCACAATCACTATCGTCACCCCTACCATACCCTCCACCCCACCACTACCACCAATGTCGTTGCCACCATTACCACCACCACCACCATCACCCCACTATCATCATTACCACTACCACCACCGTCCCACCACTATTATCCCTAGTCATCGCTGTTGTTAGACCTTACCACCACTGCTATTGCCCCACCATCACTTCTACTACTCCCCATCGCCCCATCACCACCCCTATGACCATCACAACTACCACCACCACTGCCAACCCACCACTGCCACCCCATCGCCACCTACCACTGATTACTACCATCGTCGTTCATGGTCATCACCCACCATAATCATCATCTTATTCTTATATTTATTATCATTACCACCATCATTCCACTACCACCGTCAGCACCCACTATCACTTGTCATCGTTACTAGTCACTGTCATCACACTTACCACCACCAACCATTATTATCTGTCATCGCTCACCACTGCAACCACCTATTGTCACTTACCTCCACCATACTTACCACTGCCGTCATTCACCACCACTTATCACACTGTCACCTAAAAGTACCCATTGTCGCCCACCATCACCACCACCACCGTCATCGTCGTCCCACCACCACCACTATTGTCACCTACAACTGTCATTACCATTATCGTCATTCAAAACCCACCACCATCATTGCTATTATCACTCACGGCTGCTACCACTACCACAGTTGTCGTCTTACTCACCACAACCATCACCGTCTCTCACTATCATCATTGTTGCCCACCACCGCTCACTCTCATTACAATCCGTGTTTAAATTTTTTTATCTCTCTTCTATGTTTGTGATTTAATTTTGGGTATAAATACAAATATGTTGACCATTTTTTTTATTATTCTGTGTTTTTAGGTACGAAAAATAACTAGTGACACAATATTAGAGAGTTTGAGTCTTTTTCAACTCACCTGCTTCATAAATGAGTAGATTCGACATGACAATACAATTAATAAATGAAATGACATGGGTGAAGCCAATTCAAAAAAATATACACACACAACTCGTTTATATATCAGTTACATACGATTCATGCACGACATAAATTATTAAATGAATCACGTATGAGTAGAGTATTTTTTGGTTAATAGCTAATAAAATTATTTTTTGATTATATTTAAGTATCACGTGATAAATTTATAATAAAAAATTGTTAACAAATTTTAGATATTATCCACTTGAGAGATTACATAGAAATATACTTATTACTTTAAGTATCAAAATGATAAAATTAAAATATTGATGACTAAAATAAAATAAATTTTATATTTTGAGGATCTCTAGTGTAATTAACTCTTTAATTCTTAATTTAATAAAGAATTCCATTCATTTTATGAAATGCAAAACTACCCCCAAAAAAAAAAAAAAAGAAGGACGAATACCGACTGTGACTCGAATAAAAAATATGACAAAAAATACATGAGTTGACATTCCCACCTCTGATGGTATGCCCGCGATTACTTTCCACTGGAGTGGCATTCTCACAAGACTTGTAGCACGTAAGCAGGGACGTAACATTAATTTTGTTAACGACACGAATCCTCCAACTATCTTGTCTTTCCAAAAGGCAAATTGCTGACTTCCTCCTCCACGTTCTTTCCACGAATGAGGGAACTAGAGAACGAAGACCCAAAGCCGTCGTTGGCTACGCAATAGCTGACTATAGCAACGACCTGACTACGGCAACGAGACCAAACAAGAAAAGGTGTTAAATTTTATCTTAGAAAGTAATAAATCTATCCAACTAATGAGTGCATACCAAAAATTAATGAATTTTACCCAAAAAAAAAAAAAAAAAGTGGTATGACATCAATTTTTTTNAAAAAAAAAAAAAAAAAAAAAAAAAGTGGTATGGCATCAATTTTTTTTTTTTCAAACACGGTAGTCGAACCCCCGAGAAATGATTTAATCTCTGTGTGTTATACGTTCCACAGTTTTGCAACTCAAATTAAGATTGTGGTACCAAAAATTGCAAGTCTCATTTGTCAAAGGATGACTTACAATTATATTTGTTTTTTATACATAAAATAAATGTACAGATACATTGGTTTATATATCTATTAGAAAACATTATCCCTCAGTATCACACAAATATCTATAAGAGACCTCATCGTACTTTTGTTAAGATTGAAACTAAAGTCTTACCATGGGNTCAATTTTTTTTTTTCAAACACGGTAGTCGAACCCCCGAGAAATGATTTAATCTCTGTGTGTTATATGTTTCATAGTTTTGCAACTCAAATTAAGATTGTGGTACCAAAAATTGTNTTTTTTCAAACACGGTAGTCGAACCCCCGAGAAATGATTTAATCTCTGTGTGTTATACGTTCCACAGTTTTGCAACTCAAATTAAGATTGTGGTACCAAAAATTGCAAGTCTCATTTGTCAAAGGATGACTTACAATTATATTTGTTTTTTATACATAAAATAAATGTACAGATACATTGGTTTATATATCTATTAGAAAACATTATCCCTCAGTATCACACAAATATCTATAAGAGACCTCATCGTACTTTTGTTAAGATTGAAACTAAAGTCTTACCATGGGTTGTAGGTGTTAGATAATAGGTTTAACCCCCAACGAACTACCTGTAGCTATAATCTCCAACGGATCATAACTTTGCAACAGATGTTACAAAACTTAAAATTTTTTTTATTTAACAATTATGAGTATTAGGGTCAGTTTACGGGCGTTTTTTTTAACCATTCTAGTTAAAGGCAAGTCATTCATACCAAAATTATGGTATTCTTTCATGCACTAACTCCAAAAAATTATTAAGATTAAAATTTAAAACATTTAAATTTATAATTTGTCTTTATTATTATTTGAACTACCCTCGAAGGATAAGATTGTTCTACGCGAAAAATGTTCACGGAGACAATAGACTATTGACTATCNTGTAGCTATAATCTCCAACGGATCATAACTTTGCAACAGATGTTACAAAACTTAAAACTTTTTTTATTTAACAATTATGAGTATTAGGGTCAGTTTACGGGCGTTTTTTTTAACCGTTTTGATTAAAGGCAAGTCATCCATACCAAAATTATGGTATTCTTTCATGCACTAACCCCAAAAAATTATTAAGATTAAAATTTAAAATATTTAAATTTATAATTTGTCTTTATTATTATTTGAACTACCCTCGAATGATAAGATTGTTCTACGCGAAAAATGTTCACGGAGACAATAGACTATTGACTATCGGCAATCCCTCTGTCTGCACGTTAAGGGTCAAAAGTTTGATCTCGAAGGCAACAAAAAGATAGATGGAAAATTCTATCTAAGATAATTTAAATTGTATTTCTATATTAACTAGTTGCATTGATTTCATATTATCTTAAAGCTAAATACTCTATCTTTTGGCATAGTCATATAAGGAGTGTCATTATACTTTTAAATGAGGAGATAAAGTGATATTTTTTATTCAATTTATAATGTATATATGTAATTGAGACAAGGTAAAACTAATAATAATAATTGAATATACACCACGAGAAACTTGATAATTGAATGGTAATATAAAAAAGGGCATATTGAAGGGGTCAAAACATAATTTGAGCTTTGATTTTTGTTTTTGGGCATAATTTGACCTTTTTAGTCTTTACTACAAATTGATGGCTCGTCATCAATTACTAGAAAGTCCTTACCCTTCTGAGACAACTGTATAATTTGAATTTGGGTTTCATTGGTATCCTGTCNGGGCATATTGAAGGGGTCAAAACATAATTTGAGCTTTGATTTTTGTTTTTGGGCATAATTTGATCTTTTTAGTCTTTACTCCAAATTGATGGCTCGTCATAAATTACTAGAAAGTCCTTACCCTTCTGAGACAACTGTATAATTTGAATTTGGATTTCACCGGTATCCTGTTGTGTTATTTTTATATATGTCGTATTTATTTTAATATTTTTGTCAATAAAAAATTATTTAATTTTATAATAACTCATATAAAAAAATTAAAAAATAACTATTTTTATCTATAGTACCCATTAAATACCTATTTTTGTCTATAGTACTTATTTAATTGTATTTATATATTTCTTGTCACATGTTTTCGNTTTTTGTCAATAAAAAATTATTTAATTTTATAATAACTCATATAAAAAAATTAAAAAATAACTATTTTTTATCTATAGTACCCATTAAATACCTATTTTTGTCTAGACTACTTAGTTAATTGTATTTATATATTTCTTGTCAAATGTTTTCACCGAATAAGGTGTCGTGGTGTAGTTGGTTATCACGTCAGTCTAACACACTGAAGGTCTCCGGTTCGAACCCGGGCGACGCCAAATATAATCTGATTTTCTTTTCATTTTTTTCACGGTTCAAAAATCCACGTGGTCAACTTGCAAAAGAGGGGCCACCAAAAACAGCCGCAATGCAATCCATGTCAGCAACAGAGGATAGATAGGCTTTACTAATGGAAAGGATGAAGGTTGAAGGTTAGCCAATCGTACCTCTGAACCTCTCTCTTGGTGACTTCCATCATTACTAGTCCCTTTTCAGGGTTAATAGCTCATACCTTCTTAGACCCTCTCTCTCAGCTTTGTGTGTCTTTTGTTTGGGCAATCAATGGCGTCTGTGTCGGCTACTTGTGTTAGGTTTCAAACTTCACTAATCAAGCAGTCCATCAAGAATAATCAGGTAAAAACTCAATCCCATTCCTCTTGCTTCTGCTATTGCATAATGCCCNTTTGTGTGTCTTTTGTTTGGGCAATCAATGGCGTCTGTGTCGGCTACTTGTGTTAGGTTTCAAACTTCACTAATCAAGCAGTCCATCAAGAATAACCAGGTAAAAACTCAATCCCATTCCTCTTGCTTCTGCTATTGCATAATGCCCTTTTTTTTTTGTTCTTTCCCGACAATTTTAACCCCCAACTGGGTCTGTCTCTGTCCATTTTGAAACATTGAGCATGTGAAATGATTGGATATAGGCATGTTGTTGTTTAATTGCTTTGAAAGAGAACAAATTTAGTCGAGCGGCGCGCAAATTGACTAAGACATTCGTGACAGTTGAACTAACAAAAGAAGGAGAACATATTTATTGTCTTTTACTTTTTTGTCAGGGAAAGAATGAATTTGAAAAAGAATATGTTAGTTGGAGTACATGAACACCAATCACATTATTTTTGAGTGTAGTATGTAAGTTTGGCAATGATATATCTAGGGGTGGAGGACATGAGCAATCACCCTTTAAGGTTAGAAAATCCCTTTTATTGTAGGATAATTTGACATGAATACTCTCAAATTATATTGGCTTGTCTTCCTGGATGGATGTTTCAAAATTTTAAAACTTAAAAGCCATCTCCTATGTTAAGTTCCCATATCNAAGTTTGGCAATGATATATCTAGGGGTGGAGGACATGAGCAATCACCCTTTAAGGTTGGAAAATCCCTTTTATTGTAGGATAATTTGACATGAATACTCTCAAATTATATAGGCTTGTCTTCCTGGATGGATGTTTCAAAATTTTAAAACTTAAAAGCCATATCCTATGTTAAGTTCCCATATTCGTCCTATGGGAGTTGTCCGTTGTGCAGTAATTCTTAGGCACGTATGAACCCCCTCTTCTACAAATGCCTTGTTCCGAAGGAAAATGCTATTTGAACTTAAAAATTTGACATAATTTGTTGATCTAATGACATGGTTTTATTGGAATCATTGGATAAATACTAAGTTTCAATGTTTGATGGACCCTACAGTTAATCCGAAAGGTGATAGTGAATTATNAATTCTTAGGCACGTATGAACCCCCTCTTCTACAAATGCCTTGTTCCGAAGGAAAATACTATTTGAACTTAAAAATTTGACATAATTTGTTGATCTAATGACATGATTTTATTGGAATCATTGGATAAATACTAAGTTCCAATGTTTGATGGACCCTACAGTTAATCCGAAAGGTGATAGTGAATTAGGTCAATAAATTAAATCCCAATAACATTGCTCTATTCGGAATTGCACAAGTAATAGGCCATTGGCATGACGGTTGGGCATCCCAAAATGTGTTTGATAAACTAGATTATCAGGATAAGGTTTTGACAGATAAAATTTTCTCTTTTTTGGATGACTCAGTATTATCATTCCACTGAAGAATCACAATCAATTTAGTTTGGAAGCTAGAGTTATGAATATTTTGAGCAGAAATGTGCAATAGCATGGACTGGTGCTTCATAAAAAAGCTCAACTTGTGGTAGACAAGACCATGAGGTTCCTGAACCTATCTATTTAGTATAGGTCTTGCACTTAGGACTATGTTTTTGTGATGCATATTCTAATTTTTTGCTGCGTATTTGGTCCAAGACATCGAGGATGCATAAGGATACATGAAAATGTTGTTATACTTGTCCCCTCGGACTATTTGACTGTACATATATGTTACGTCGCTATAGAGGAATAGTGCAAAACCAAGGAAAAAACAGAAGAAGAAAAAAAAAGAAAAAGGTCCTTTTATTTCAAATTGTTGATGATATGGCATATCATGCAAGAGAACATAGAACTGTTGCTGTATAATCAGTTCCGGGTTGCCTATAAAGTGTGGGATAAAGACTGTCTCAAGTTGTAGTGCTTTTTTGGCTGGACTGTTTCAATAAACCTTTGTAAACGAAACCAACAGGGTACGTTTGATAACGTTTTTTGTTTTTATGTTTTTTTTATAAAAAAAATAGAAATATTTTTTGTTTTTTCTATGATAAAAATAAAAAATATAAAACATGTTTGATAGTTATTTATATTTAAAAAATTATGAAAACAAAAATAAAAAATTTATTTGATATTATACCAAAAATTCATCGCCCAAATCCCACCCCTAACCCCACCACCGAAACCCACCCCCAACCCTACCTCCAAAACCCACAACCTGCCTCAACCATTGAAATTTACCACCGAAACCCACTACCCATACTTGAAACCCACCACCACCCATTATCCACCCCCGAAACCCACCACTGAAACTCTCCAGAAAAACCCGACAGAGAAGACCGAGAGAGAGAGATCGAGAGTCGAGAGATCTGGGAAAAAAAAAACAAGTGACAGAGAGGGGGATTTTATACTAAAACAAGAAAACCTATTTTTTNCCAGAAAAACCCGACAGAGAAGACCGAGAGAGAGAGATCGAGAGTCGAGAGATCTGGGAAAAAAAAAACAAGTGACAGAGAGGGGGATTTTATACTAAAACAAGAAAACCTATTTTTTGTTTCTAAGGAGGTTCGAAGCCAGAATCTCATTAAATGAGACATTTTGAATTGCATATTTGTTTTTTTTTTTTTTTTGATGTTTTCAAAAAATCCTTTTGAATGTTTCCATATTTTAGTCTTGTTTTCAAAGCGCTGAAGTTAAAAAAAATGAAAACATTCACCAAACACTTTTTTTAAGTTTGCCATAAAATAAAATAAAAAAAAAACAAAAATACAATGTTAGTAAACGGCACCATAATTATGTCTGTGGTGTTCATANCCATAAAATAAAATAAAATAAAATAAACAAAAATACAATGTTAGTAAACGGCACCATAATTATGTCTGTGGTGTTCATATTTACAGATGGGAATAACACCTAGTTTGAAGCTGGTTTCCCTGGCTTGGGCAAGTGGTGGTTCCCCTTCTCTGAGAACCTCCCGCTTCCAAGTCTCTTGCGCGGTATTTTTACGCTCCCCTTCTAGTTTTTCCCTCACTGGCCATTAATTTTCACTCTCAAATTATCTTTCTCTAGAAATGAATTAACTTGTACCGCACAAATTGCCAGGCAAAGCCTGAGACAGTGCAGAAAGTATGTGAAATTGTGAGGAAGCAATTGGCTTTGCCTGCCGAGTCTGAGCTCCACTCTGCATCAAAGTTTTCAGATCTTGGTGCTGACTCCCTTGACACAGTGAGTGTTATCTTCTTATTAGTTTGATGTTCGTTTGACATTTTCCTAAACATTTAACAATAAAGCTTTCGTGTTGCCCAGTGATTAGATCGAACTGCCTACGATTGTTGGTTGGTGATCAACATTGCAAGTACATTGACCATATGAATTTGTGCAGGTGGAAATAGTGATGGGGCTGGAGGAAGAGTATGGCATTATTGTTGAAGAAGATAACTCTCAGAACATAACCACCGTCCAAGAAGCTGCTGAATTGATAGAAAAACTTGTTCAAAAGAAAAGTGGAGCTTAGAAATTGAGCCGATTGCTGAGATTGCCTAATGAGAACTTGATTAGAAGGTTCGTGGGATTACCGGATGGATCTAGGTTTTCCTTGTTTTGTACCTTTGTTTATTGTTCAGAAGCTAGATTGAAATCAAAGTACCAATTCTTGCAAATCTTGTTGTATCGAGAAACCACCGATTTAGACATGGTGTTTTTGCTTTTAAAAGAACTGGATTTGCTATCCTTTGCAACTGCTTGTTACTTTCTCACCCTTGGGCCATATAGTGATCATTATTTAACTACTAACATTCATTCTGTTACCCACATGGTTCAAGTTTGCAGTATCAGTCATTGACTCGGAGAGTTCTGAGACACATTGGTCACGGCGTGGTATTAGGTGATACGACTTAAAAGAAAATGTTTTAACATGATAAGAGTTTCAAGTCACATCGCGGAACCGACCGATTCAATGACGATAACTCAACGACTCAAGATTGATTCGGATACCACTTGGACGACTCGACTGAGTCTTGCAAGATTCAAAATTTATATGTATCATATATCGATATTGTCTTGAAAAGTGTCAAATTGTATATAAATCGATCAATTCATATCGGTATCGATTGCTACATTAAACTATGACTACCCACATGGTGGGTTGCAAATATTTTCTTGTTTGTTATTAGGCTTTCTCAGCCCACTCCCTATATGAATGTAGACTACGATCCCCTCGAACTGTAAATTAGGGAGAGAGAACCTCTCTTGAATTTATTCAAACCTAACCAAAGAGACTCTTGCTTTAAAGGCATACTTATGAATAGTCATAGTTTCACATTGCAACGAATTCAGTGTTTTAAAGAGTCTCTCATGTTGGTAATTTTTTANGTCATACTTATGAATAGTCATAGTTTCACATTGCAACGAATTCAGTGTTTTAAAGAGTCTCTCATGTTGGTAATTTTTTATTCAACGTTTTTCTTATGGATCCTGATTCTCTCTAGTATTTTTTCCACAGATGGTAAATCATCCGCCATGAATTAAATTGAGATTTACAGCTAAAATAATGAAGGAATAANGTAAATCATCCGCCATGAATTAAATTGAGATTTACAGCTAAAATAATGAAGGAATAACAGTCCCTGCCTATTGTCCTAGACAAAACCAATGGTTTACCAGGCAGCTTAACCAACGAATTCTCCACAAGCCTGAGTCAAATATGATTGTTTTATACAAGTTTGCAGCTTCTGTTTATTTACCACAACTACAAACTCCATTCTTATTCTAATCATGGGTATATAATTCAACTTTCCTGTATCCAGATAATAGCGAGTTAGTGTATGATGCATGTCAGCTGAATGAAGTTTTCTTTCGAAGGATAAGTATACAACACCATATGCAAAAGCAATTTCGGGTTTAGGACTTATTTTTACCGACACTTTACTTGATGTCATACCCGAATATCTTGACATAAGTGTTTCACATGCTCCAATATCCTATCTTGTATGGGTTGTGCCCATCCATGGGCGTCCCAATTTGGTAGTCCTCCTCCAACAAATTTACCAAAGAATCATTTGCGGAAACACCAAATTATTACTTAAATCTCCAACACAAATAATTATAACAACTAAAGAAAGAAAATCATACTCGATGCACAAATCTTTTGTTTGTAGAGGGATAAGAATTATAATGCTCCGTTTGATACAATGGAAAAGTGGGAGGATGAAAACTTGTAAAGATGAAAAGTTGGAGGGATAAATAAAACATCATGTTTGGTAAGGAAGAAAAGTAAGAAAGATGAAAAAGTGAATGGATTAATTTTCCTTCCAACTTACCAAAATTAATCCCTCCAAAATTAGAAGAAAACTAGATAGAAAAATTAATTATATGTGTTGAGATGTATTTTATTTGCNATGGATTAATTTTCCTTCCAACTTACCAAAATTAATCCCTCCAAAATTAGAAGAAAACTAGATAGAAAAATTAATTATATGTGTTGAGATGTATTTTATTTGCCTATATATCTTTTTATATATACATATATTATGTATATATTAATTTCATATAAAAATACAACGGTAAAATATGTATGTATATATATTATATATATATTTTAAAAAAAATTCAATTTTTTAAAAAAAATTGAATATTAAAAAAAAAAAATTCATCTTACCTAAGGATAAACATTTTCGACTCAACACGATGACACGATTCGAACTTTATACGAAAATAAATAGGTCAATTTGTAACTCGACACGACACAATTAGTTTAATGAGTTAAATTAGATTTGACTAATATTCGACACAAACTCGTAATGACTCAACACAAATTTGACACGACACGACTCAATTGTCATTTTTAATCTTAGCCATCATAAAAAAAAATAGTTATTTTTATTTTTCACTCATCCAATCAAACACAAAAGAAGGAAAATGTATCATTTCTACTTTCCATCCTTGAAAGATAGAAAATATATCTCTCATACTTTTCATCCTCTCTATCAAACGGAGCATAAGTAATAAAAATAGCTCAATTTGGTCAATCTGCCAGCTTGACTGTGAAATACCTCTCAAAAGGTAGAACGCAAACTACTTGAAAACAAAAAATGCGCCGTTGCCGGGGATCGAACCCGGGTCACCCGCGTGACAGGCGGGAATACTCACCACTATACTACAACGACAGCTTCTTGTACAAAGCAGGATACTTTATTTATATATTTATATTTGTTAGCACTGGTATCAAAAATTTTCTGCTGCTTGAGCTTACGTCGGCCCTTTCTTCGTGTCAACTGTCACTCGCCAAATGTATTAGATGAGTCAGATCCCATNCGGTCCTTTCTTCGTGTCAACTGTCACTCGCCAAATGTATTAGATGAGTCAGATCCCATGATATTTAATTATTTTATTTAACGACGTGGTCTCTCAGTTTCACTTTCCGTACTCGCCGTCAATTCTCCATCAACGGAGCTCAGAGAGAGAGACTACGCTCTCAAACCCTCCTCTCAATTTTGCCTCAAATCCCAATTCAATCCGATCAACCGATTTCCTTGCTCTTTTGTTCAAAGAAAATCTAGCACAATCTTCTTAAATTTTCTCTAGAATCTAGCTCTCCCATCAAAATTCTCTCCATAATTGGACAGTTGTATATATAGACGAATCTCTATATATGGATCGGAGAAGAACTGAGAGTCCGGTGTACTCTAGGCAGTGGAGTGGAGGTTCGAGCAGCACAGGCTCATCGTCTCCGGCGAGGTCGCCGGCTCATCCTCACTCGCGGTTACCGCCGTCGAGCGGGTTCTCTACAATCAAGAGGACTCAAAACGTAGCCGCTAAAGCAGCTGCGCAGCGTTTGGCACTGGTTATGGCGTCACAGACGACCGACGATGACGAAGAAGATGATGATCCAGGGTTTCGGTTCCCGGCTCCGCCACCTTCTTCGTTTTCTAGAAACGTGAATAGCAATGCTAAGAATGGTTTGCCTGCTGTTTCGCTTGCTAGACCTAACAGATCTCCGTCACCTGCGGTGAGTTTAGCAGCAGTCCGTTTATATGATTGAATCAAATGTTGGATTGAATTGGTGTAGTGGATATGATGATCGAGATGTTTTCAGTGTAATTGGTAGTTTGTATCTTGATGCGCATCAATTTTGAATCTGATACTGAATCTATTCGTAGCCACCCCTTCAACTTTGATTTGTTCTACTAAGATTATATTTCATGGAGAACTTTAATATATTTTTGTGATGAATTTTGAAATCCGATACCTTAGCTCTGGCTTGCTATATCAGTGTTTCGTGAATTGTAGGAGGCTCTGTGAGTTGCAATCATACCACAAGAAGTTCTGATATGATTTCAATGAGATGCTTTTCACCCTAAAAAGTTTTCTCAGTGACTTATGCATGTTTAACAATTTTCGAGCATGGCTAGTCTCTTACGTCAAACCCATCAACTTTAAGAATGTTTTGCTAATTTTCACAGTCAGTGGTATGGAAGAAGATGCTTTAGGAGTAGGACATGTTTTGTGGATTGATGAGTCATTCTTAAACTACATTGAATAATAAATGAATGTAGTTGTCTGGTAAAATTTTCTTTGGCGGCCTTTATGTATCCACCTTGGTTGCAATTCAGAAGCCTAATTGGATGTTCTCATATCTAGTTAGGTCGGAATTTTATGGATCACACTCCTTCAGTTCGTTCCACATCAGCTGGAAGACCATCGACAATGTCTGTTCGCTCAACGCCAGTAGTGCCACCTAGTAGTAAACCATCATTGAGAACTGTGGTTTCCATAGATTCTCCTAGTAGCAGACTCAGAGAAAAGAGGTAGCAAATGTTCTTACGTTTAGTTTTTATTTTTATTTTTTGCTGGAAACGTAATTGAATGCATTTTTGAAGCACTATTTAACTCTTACTATAGATATATCAATATAGGCAGAAATAGAAATATTACATTTTCTTTATTTTTTTTTACCCCAATGTGGTTTTTCTTTTCTTTTCTTTTTTTTCAGATAGGGAGTGAAATCCTTGTTTGAGGAGTCAACTTTTAACCCCTTATCCAGAGATCAGTTACTGTCTGAGTAGGGTGGTCACTGGCCAAATTTCAATGTAATTTTGAATGAGCTTCTCTCTGGTCCTATTTAGATTTTGACACCATTCTAACTCATGTTTTTTTGGGGTCTTAGTAGGTTATTTAGCTTTTTTCCCCCTATTGATACTACAAGTAAAAAATGGTCCTTATGTTGGTGCTTTGATTATAAGTTAAATTACCGGGTAGATTATGTGTTCTTTACATGTTATTCTAATATTTTAGTGAGGACTTTGGTGAAGACTGAAGAAACAATAGCGAGCTAAAAGACAGATAAGCAAGTATTTTTGCACTGCTTACTTGTTTGTTGAATATGTACCGATTTACTGCCTTTTGTATTCTCATTCTCCTTCCTCTCAAAGTGATGAGGTAATCCTGGGTGAGCACCAACCCTAGTTTTATGTCCAATTTGATTCTGTGTCACTCTACTGTATGTTTCAAGCTTCTATTCAGAAATCTAGACACTTTTATTTGAATAGTGACTGTGGATAACTAGAGCCGGATGTGGATGTTGAATTCTTTGCAGTACTTTTCTCCACCTGCCAACCTATGAGTGCAGGCTTAGCTTTGAGCAGTGATAAATATGTTTTTTTATTACAACTTGAATGTACAAAATTACATCCATCTATAGTTCCTTTTGCTGTAGCATCCATCTCTTGCAATCTGTAACTCAGTAAGAAGAGGATAATGAGTTAAACTAGAGGATACATTGGTTGCATGTTGGCATTATTGGTTACTGGAAATATTGTAGGTTTACAGTAGATATGGGACATTTTGACTTGAAAGATACAGGAAATCAGCATGAGGCTTCTGCACTTCGTGATGAGGTAAGCTGGTTTCTCTTGTCAATTACCATCTCCTTATCAGGCTAAAGGTTAACTTCTAAAATAGAAAAAAAATGTTATTTTGTAGCACATTGCAGATCTTTATGCAAATTGTTCAATTTTGAATGAGTAAATAAGTTTTGTATTTTGGAAAATTTTATATTAGAAAACAGTCCTTGAATTCTTTATTAAGTTGACATCTGCTTGAATTGCAGCTTGATATGCTACAAGAAGAGAACGAGAATATCTTAGACAAGGTGAGCCACATTACACAACAATACATAAATGATTGTGCCTGATATTGCCTGCTTTTGAGTAACTTGATGAATGCATTGCTCTACAGCTTCGTCGTGCAGAAGAAAAACGTGAAGAAGCAGAAGCCAGGGCCAATGAGCTAGAGAAACAGGTAATCACTCTCTGTCACTACTCTTTGTTTCCCATTGTTCTGTCTAAAGGTTTTGAGTTTGGAATAAGTTGCACATCACCGTTAAGAAACATTTTCATATGATCAGTTAGCTTCTTTTTTTTTCCTGCCCTACGAGGGAATATTTTCCCCCAATTTCTAATGGAGATAACCATGTCATACTGCAGCTTGGTTACCACTTTCCTTTTATATTTCAGATTAAATCTTCCTTGTAATCTTTCCTTCTAATGGTGGGGGGAAAAACTATCCAGAAAATTATGTCGACGACTCAACAACTACTTTTCCTTAAAATGGTGCTTAAAGCTGCATTTTGCTAGTGTTTTCATGTATTTTACATCATCCATTTTATCACTATGCACTGTTTGCATCTGAAAAGCTGTGCTCTTCATTTAATTTCTTAGTAAATTTTAACATAGGTTTTGTTGTCTAAATTCCATTCTTAGTAATTGAACTTTACAACCATATGGGATGCTTGGATATTTCATGGAAAATTTTAAATCTACAGGTTGCTTCTCTTGGAGAAGGTGTATCCCTGGAAGCTAAATTGTTGAGCAGGTAAACTTGAATTATTTCCCGTATTCCATATTGATGCCTATTGTTCTGTGTGTGATGGGCTGTCTGATAATCTGCAGGAAGGAAGCAGCATTGCGTCAAAGAGAGGTGAGTGGGTGGCACATATATAAATAAATTTGACAATGCTTAGCAAAGAAGCAGATTTTGTTAGAGTAGGTTACTTGTGAGATATTTAATTTCCACTAATATGTAACAACCATTCTAGTGGAATAATTGATTCTCAACTATTAGGGTGTGCATGCTCTTTTCTTTGCAATATTTCATTCTTTGTTGGAGTTTGCTCTTAGCTGGCAAAACATACTCTGCTTCAGGCTGCTCTTAAAGCTGCAACGCAAACGAAGGATGGGAGAAGAGATGAGGAGGTTGCTGCCCTTCATGCAGAAGCTGAGGTTTGCATATGCTAATCCTTAGGCACTCTAATAATTTCTTTTATTCTTACAATACACTGCTGATCATTATATACCTTCTTTAATTTGTCCAAACTAGAATTTAAAAGATGAGACTGCAAATGCCATAGAACAGCTTCGGGAAGCTGAATCTGAAGCAAAGGCGCTCCGTACCATGACCCAGAGAATGATTTTGACTCATGAAGAGATGGTAATTTTTTAATGTCATTGTGACAATAATGACTAGGTGTTCATTTTCTTAAATTACTGACGATCCACCCATTTTAATTTTTGGGGGTGGTGGAATTCATGTTCCAGGAGGAGGTTGTTCTGAAGAGGTGTTGGCTTGCTCGCTACTGGGCCTTAGCTGTGCAACATGGTAATCTACTTGCTTCATTATATTTCGCAAAGATTGGCCAAAAACCCTTCCATGATTTTATTTTTTTGCCGTGGATTGCATGAAACTAGAGACCTGTAGCTGTTACATAACGTTCTGTCTTGAATTTATGTTTCTGGTTTACAAAGACTTGATTTCATGTGAACAGTAAGTAGTAGGAAGTCATTCTACTTTTTTGATAACCATTTCAGTTTCCAAGCTTGGTTAATCTGAAAAGGTTCAGTTGATTTGCTCTTAATCTTGAAATGAGTGGCCGAGTCGGGAATGTAGTTGCATCACATGTTACTTTTTCCCATTGTTGCTTTCCTGTTTTACAGGAATCTGTGCGGACATAGCAGTCTCAAAACAGAAGCATTGGTCATCTTTAGCACCTCTTCCGTTTGAAATTGTCATTTCTGCTGGGCAAAAGGTCAAGGAGGAGTCTTGGAATGGTGGCAACTTCTCCTGTTGCTATAGTAGTTTAGATTGCTGTATTGTAAGTTGCTTGTGTCTCTTTTTCTGTCTTATTGGGCTTTTCTTTTTATGAAATGGAGCAGGTGGCAATGATTCAGATAAAAGGGGCAAACTTGTTCGCGATTTGAATGATTTAACTGGGGAAGGAAACATTGAGAGCATGCTTTCAGTTGAAATGGGGTTAAAGGAATTGGCTTCCTTGAAGGTGTTCTCATACATCTTTGACTTCAATTTCCTCAATTTTAGCAGTATTTGATTTGTTTTGGGTTTCTTTTTTGGGGCATGTGATTCCATAATGTTGTGCATTCAAGGATTTTGTTTTCGACATTTTGTTACATTTTACATCAACAGGCAACTTATCCCATTTGTTTCCTTCTTTCCTTTTCATTTATCTATCTTACTTTTCATTATTGGTAATTTATACTGCTGCTGTTTTAAGATTGAGGATGCTGTTGCAATCGCACTGGCACGACACCGACGGATGAATTTAATTCGGCAATCCTTTTCTGGTATGGCCCTTTACCATGCTCTTTCTCTTCTGAGGAAGAATGATTGCTTTGTTTTCTTTGCTCTAGCTGTCTTTTTTGGTGATAAGTGCAATCATTGTTATCTGACGACTTCCTTATACCAGTTGACCACCTTGTTAGAAATTTCGATAATTGATAACAGAAGAAAACAATATGTCTGCCTGGCTTTCCCATCTCCTGGATTTATCTGTTATTTATCAGTATAAACATGTATATATGTTTTCGTGCATGCGTTTTATATGTTTTAGTCCTTAATTATTAGCCCTTTACTACCCTTCTTAGATCCCACTTATGATGGGATTTTAACCTTACCATCATTTTTCATTTGTCCTTGGAGATACATATAGTCATCTTCTTTTGTCCCTTAAACTGTATCAAAGTTGCTGCTGCTGCTCCCCCCCTCCCCCAGTGTGACATCTGGCAGCCATACCAGCATGCAATTTTTTTGGTGATATAATGAGCTGGATTGTTACACATCCTATCCTGTTTTGTTTTGTACGTTTGAGTTGTAATTTCAATTTGAAAATAATCTGATGGCACACGTGCTCTCCCTCATGTAAATGTTTGTGATGTCTTGCTATAAATGATATCTAGTTGCATTATGTTCCTATTTTAAGTGAATTAGTTGGTTCTCACCGCCCCTAGTTTGATGGAATGTAGAGGTTACTATCTGGTTATGGGTTTGGTAATATGCACTGATACTGCCAATTAAATTTCTTGGGTTGCAGATTCCAAATCATCGGGTGATCCCAAGTTTATGGAGGCATTTGGTAATGAAATGTTATATTCTGTCTCTAAACTACCTTTGACATTAGAACTGCTAAAATTGAGGATTTCACTTTAAAAATGTACCCATTGCAGTGCCCTGACACATCCGACACATCATGGTTGTATCCATATTATAAAGTAGAATCCTAAATTTTGGACACATGGCTTACACTTCTGAGATACTTGCCAACATGACGGACAAAGCATGTTGAGTATGTTGTTCATATGTTTGGATAGATGAGGGGATCGACCTGAGAAACTGGTCTGATTTGCTTGTCTAACATTCTGTACCAATCTCTGCATGCCCTAGATTATGGGCTCTATTTTTTGATGAATCTATTTGCTTTCTAGTCTTCCCATACGAAAGTTGAGGCTTATATTCTGCATATGGGCATCAGCATTCAGTAATCCTGATTCAAGCAGTATATCACTTTATGCTACAACAAATTCTGATTTAAATTTGGGTTGGTAATAGGTTTTTTTGATTTTCTATTAACCCCTCTCTAGACTGGAGTGATTTAAAGTGAACAACTTTTATATCGATATTTAGGATTCATCAGTGTTCCAGCCATCTACATCTGGATTTACATGCCTGTTTGAGTTTTTTTGTTGTTGCATGCATCCCATGTACCCTTGTTCAATGTCCAGAGATATGGTTTGCAGGTCTACACTGTGCAGTTAAAGTGGTCATAATGGTTTTGGCTAAATATCGGTGTTTGTTTGTTTGCAGAATTAAGTCAAGAAGAGTCAGAAGATGTTCTTTTCAAGGAGGTCAGATGCATTTTTGTTTATATATGTTTTTTGATGATGCTGTGTACTTTTCTGATGGTGTATTACCCGCCGTCGATTTTGTCAATTTGGGGGGTTGGACTGACTGAAGACAACTCCAAACAACCCACCCCCTACCCCCCCTCATATTACGTCCAAACTCCCCGGTTTTATTGCTATATGACATTGAGAGTTGTAATTAACTGTAGGAAATCCATGTTGTGTGTTATCAGACTTCTTATAAAATTGCGTTCCCACGAACAATTTCTTCTCTTTAGAAGTAAGAAAGTGAAATTTGATATGCTTTCACTCACCTTGTCATCTGCAGTGGCAAGGACCAGGGATATATATGGTTAAACCATATGACCATGATTTTCTTTGCATGCCATATGCACGTCTTATCTGATAGGTGACAGGGAGAAACTTGTACAAAACAAATCCACCAGCCATCCTAAGTTGTTGGGACTTGTGGCCTTGTCAGTTTGAATTATTAGATTAAGAGCCAATATGCTCTATTTCTTATGCAACACATGACAACCACAAGAGCCAACCACCTCGGGCAGTTTCCTTTTTTGATTTCAACTTCAAACAATCTGAATGCAGCATAATTAATTTTTCAAAATTCACGTTGTGCTTATCAAGTTACTTGGTATTTCTGTTGATCAGTTTCTGTGTGATGAGTAGAAATGTTTTTATGTCAGGATGTATTATTTTCTGAAACCAAACATTGTCTGCAGGCTTGGCTAACATATTTTTGGAGAAGAGCCAAAGTATATGGTGTAGAAGAGGATATTGCCGAAGAAAGGCTTCAATTTTGGATAAGCCGTAGTGGGCAGTCACCAACATCACATGATGCTGTCAATGGTATTTCTATTTCCTGTTCTTAGTGTTATTTTTCAGTGCATAATGCCATGCGAAATGCAGTTTCAAGTGGTACAGGGAAAATTGATATTTGTGTTGAAAATATCTGATGTGTAGTCACAGAGTTGGTGCTGTGGATGCAAACTTTGCCTCGAGATCCATCTCACTTTTTATTTAATGTGTTGAACTACTATAGTCACTATTATGATGTATGATTGAGTTGTCTCACCCCTTCTGCCCACACAAATAATTTAATCAATACTGATTTGTTAGACTACCGGGATGGGATGGGCTTTTATTGATAGGTTTAGTAATGTTATTAAACTAGCAATGGATTAGTAACAACTTGCGTGATGATATAAAAAACTTTCCATCAAATGTAATTTCTGGGTACGGAGTTTAGTTTTCTGATTTCATTCACATAGCCAGTTCTATTGTATTTGCAAAATTGTGAGGAAATTATTCTTCTTTAAATAGATGGCAGTGATCTTAACAACCATACAGGAATATGGCATTAAAGCTTACTGATGTAGTAGTATAATAGAAAATTGGCGCGCCTTTTAGCATCATTTGCTTATATGTTGGCAAAGAAAGAGATAATTTCTGTGTTGCCTATTCCTATGCTAAATGCCTTTTCCTATGGAGTGACATCAAAATATTATCGAGATTTTTTGAATAATTTGTGGGAAAACAAGAACAAACTACCAATTTTGTTTGGTTTACATCTCAGAAACTGTCTTTCTGTTTTCGGGATAAAAACTGTTTCACCGGCTGTTTTTTGTTCTTGTTTTTTGAAAAGTGAGAATAAAAAGTGGATAAATTTAGAGAACGAATTAGAACTATTGTGTGTTTTTAGAAATAACCTTTCCAGATTTTACCACCACCACCACAAACACTATCATACTTCCACCACCGCCACATTTCTGTTTTAATTGTTTTATGGGTTTCTGTCCAAATAAAGTTTACTGTTTCTATTCCGTATAACTGTTTTTAGAATTGTATAACCAAACAAGTTCTATTGTACAAAAAATATTTTTCTAAAACTCTTTTTGGATATTGGGTTTTTGAGATGCAAATCAAACAGGGTACAAGTTTTGGGTAGCCATGAGTGTTTAAAAGAATCTTATGTTCTACTTTGTTTTAAGTTCCTTGAAGTTTGTGTCACGGCTTATGGATTCCATTGTGTGCTTTGTTACAGCTGAACGAGGTTTGACGGAGCTAAGGAAGTTGGGTATAGAGCAGCAACTGTGGGAAGCATCGCGCAAGGAAATTGACCAGCCCTCTTCATCTCCCGTTGCTAGTCAGAAACTCGCTGCAGAATCAGAGACGACTTCGTGATGGATGTTGCCATGATACATTGGTTCTCATCATAATTTGTTTTTCTATTTGATATTTAGACTTTCTTACGGATATTAAATTTCGTCCATGTGGCTATGATGTTTGATATTTGTTCTTTTTGATTCCTTATAAAAGAAGTAGAATGATTGTACAAGGAGTTTGAGGGGAAATGTGAATAAGTTTTTGTAAAATAGATTCGATGTTATTAACCAACTGGCAAGTTTTGTAATTAAAATCGATTCAATTCTTGTTTGAATGATTTTGTTCTTACGTCCTTTGCGTGCTTGCACACTGTCATGATGCTTTTCGAATACTAAATCTTAATTTGGGCCTAACGGTGACACGACATAAAATTGCTGAGGTGATGTCATCATTATGTTTAATATTTTTACTTAATCATGATCTAAATTCAGGTATTTAATGTTATTTTATGCTATTTGAATCAAATTTATTTTTAGGAAAATTATGAAGTCTAGATCGCATAAGTTGATTAATACAACAATTATTTTTTTAGAGAAAATGACTAAGACAAGTCTCCCTTCTTTTGTTAATTCAAAATTTTTAATTTATTTTATTTAATAAAAAATTATCTAATCTTGTTTGACAAAGTAACCCTATTAATCAATGATATCATCTCATAATTTTTATTATTCTTCTTTAGTCAACAAAAAGGTGGGTGTCATCTAAAGGGGAAAAGTGATAAAAAAGAGAGTGAAAAAAGAGGTGAGAGAGAGATTGTTTTGCTTGTAATAGATCCAACGTTTTAGGTATGAGCATTGCGACTTTCAATCTAAATAGTTTCATTTTCAATCGAGAGAATGTAATTAATATTTGGGACAATGTTCTTTTATCATGCTAACATTAGTGTAAAAACTATGCATGAATGTAATGCTCATGACTTTCCTCTCTTATCTAATTGTTATCAATGCTTCATCTACAAATTAATAAGACGTATGGTGCATTGTGAAGGTTGGTTACTCATAATAGAGTTACAATATAATCAATATGTAATGATTTAGTACTCAAATTAAGAGAGTGTTGAGGCTTATTGAATATAAAACTAATAATGTATTAAATAATGAATACATCCATGATCCATGACATACAAAATCCTCATAGGATTACATTTGCATTATTCTTGATAATTAATACACAAGAGATACATCTATTTACACGGTAAAAAATCATTAACATCAAATTTTAATATTTGATGCGACCTACAATCAATTTAAAAATTATAATAAATTAGATTAATAAATTAAATTTTGATAAAATTACTTTTACTATAAAATATGTGAGACAGAAACTTGGGCCAGGTATAGTTTGGAGGCCGAACCCCACCCTAGCACTAAGGATGCGGCTTAGGTCAACCGTTAACTTACACAAAGAAGATACAATTGAACTCCATGTGAAAAATGAGCATTATCGTTTGGATGGTATTAATCATTTACATGGATCCACTTCTCATTCTATTTGTAGGAATTTTATGATCTAAAAATCGTCCTTAACGAATGATCGACTCATATTTGGATATGATGAATCACTTTGTACTGATCTTAAGTGTCACACCCTAATTGACTTGGGTGCAAATGACCGGTCTTGATGGCACCTTGCACCAAGGTATGCCAGAAATTGGAATCAAGGTGACGCAGTTAAATGGTTCGATAGATTGGGGCGAACTAAGACAGCATGAGACCACCCGGTTGAGTATGGNTTCTCATTCTATTTGTAGGAATTTTATGATCTAAAAATCGTCCTTAACGAATGATCGGCTCATATTTGAATATGATGAATCACTTTGTACTGATCTTAAGTGTCACACCCTAATCGACTTGGGTGCAAATGACCGGTCTTGGTAGCACCTTGCACCAAGGCATGCCAGAAATTGAAATCAAGGTGACGCGGCTAAGTGGTTCGACAGATTGGAGCGAACCAAGGCAGCATGAGACCATCCGGTTGAGTATGGCAGCATGGGTGGGCTCAATTGAAGCAATGTGGGTGCAGAGCTTCGGATTGCATGGCATGGGTTGAACCCAGCATGCACATTGGTTCGAGTAGCAAGGTTGACTGGTGAATGTGGGCACATGACTGTTGAATGTGGGCACCTGATTAGCACATGATTGCTCAATGCATGTANGACTGGTGAATGTGGGCACATGACTGTTGAATGTGGGCACCTGATTGGCACATGGCTACTCAATGCATGTGACCAGGAAGATGTGGGCAGTTATGATGCTGAGACTCAATCAAGGCAGTTGTTGAGGCAGTTCTGGATGTCCCCAGTCTGAATCCAGTCTAGATGCATGCTGATGAAGGGGCAGTTCCACAGCAGTTACTTGAAGTGGTGGAACTGCCTGCCAGGTGTTGCACAGAGACCAAGTCTACTAGTCCAGTATGCTATGGAATAGCAAAAACGTGGGTAACCACCCCTTGGCAGATGGGGGTGTCATCTGTCTTCCTCTTGTATAAATAGAGGTGCTTGAGCATTTTGGAAGGTAGAGAGTGTTCTGGCTTTTGAGAGTCCTTGTAAATTGTTGAGTTCAATATATAAGGTTTGGGAGTGTTGTCCCAGTAGATTCGTGTGTGCCTTATGTGTGAGTTTCTGTCCCTTATTCTTGAGTTGAGTGTGGCTGGTTGTAATAGCAACGCCTTCACAGGTAGCCTCAAAAGAAAAACGAAAGTTACCCTGTGACACTTTGGTATCAGAGCGTAATTTTGGCAACAGATCAATTATGGCTGGCGGAACGAATGCTGATCTAAGGGAAAAGGTGGCACGGTTGGAGGAGCTGGTTGGTCCTCCACAGTCTGGTGATGCTGTAGCTCTCTCTATGCAGATTGAGTTGCTATATCAGCGGTTCGAAGAGATGCGTGTTGCACAGGAACAACTTCAAAAGACTGAATCTGATCACTTCAGTCGAGTGAAAAACGAAGTCGTTGACGTGTTGGCTACGATCTCCACATGGACCGATGATATGGGAGAAAAATTGAGTTCCCTCGAGACCGACGTTTCAGTGCTTAAGAGGGCATTGCAGAATGCCCCTGTGGCTTCTGGCAGTGAAAGCACTCAGAAAGCTAAAGTGTCTGACCCTAAGCCTTTCACAGGCAGTCGAAATGCTAAAGAACTCGAGAATTTTCTGTGGGATATGGGACATTACTTCAAAGCAGTCCGTACTCCGGATGCTGAGAAGGTAGATCTCACTAGCATGTACCTGTCCGGTGATGCTAAATTATGGTGGCGAACACGTTCTGAGGACAAATCTCGTCTTTCAATTACTACTTGGGAGTCTCTGTCCGCTGAAATGAAGGAGCAATTTCTTCCCAGCAACACGGCTTGGCAAGCCCGTGATGCATTGAGGAAACTTCGACATACAAGCACCGTGAGAGAGTACGTGAAGCAATTCTCGTCTCTGATGCTTGACATTAAAAATATGTCAGAGGAAGACAAACTGTTCAACTTTATGTCTGGCCTCCAAACTTGGGCACAGGCAGAACTTCGTCGGCAAGGGGTGAAGGATTTACCCGCTGCTATGTCCGCAACAGACGCGCTGGTTGATTACAAAACGCAAGCTAATCCTCTAGAGAATGAGTCGAAAGGGAAAGCCAAGTTTGCTAAGAAGGATAAGCAGAAGAAAAAGGCTAAGAAGTTTGGCAATTCAGAAAAACNTAAATTGTTGAGTTTAATATATAAGGTTTGTGAGTGTTGTCCCAGTAGATTCGTGTGTGCCTTCTGTGTGAGTTTCTGTCCCTTATTCTTGAGTTGAGTGTGGCTGGTTGTAATAGCAACGGCTTCACAGGTAGCCTTAAAAGAAAAACGAAAGTTACCCTCTGACAATTTGGTATCAAAGCGTGATTTTGGCAACATNTGGTTGTAATAGCAACGCCTTCACAGGTAGCCTCAAAAGAAAAACGAAAGTTACCCTCTGACAGTTTGGTATCAAAGCGTGGTTTTGACAACATATCAATTATGGCTAGCGGAACGAATGCTGATCTAAGGGAAAAGGTGGCACTGTTGGAGGAGCTGGTTGGTCCTTCACAGTCTGGTGATGCTGTAGCTCTCTGTGTGCAGATTGAGTTGCTATATCAACGGTTCGAAGAGATGCGTGTTGCACAGGAACAACTTCAAAAGACTGAATCTGATCACTTCAGTCGAGTGAAAAAAGAAGTCGTTGACGTGTTGGCTACGATCTCCACATGGACCGATGATATGGGGAAAAAATTGAGTTTCCTCAAGACCGACGTTTCAGTGCTTAAGAGGGCATTGCAGAATGCCCCTGTGGCTTCTGGCAGTGAAAACACTCAGAAAGCTAAAGTGCTTGACCCTAAGCCTTTCACAGGCAATCGAAATGCTAAAGAACTCGAGAATTTTANTTGAGTTTCCTCAAGACCGACGTTTCAGTGCTTAAGAGGGCATTGCAGAATGCCCCTTGTGGCTTCTGACAGTGAAAGCACTTAGAAAGCTAAAGTGTCTGACCCTAAGCCTTTCACAGGCAGTCGAAATGCTAAAGAACTCGAGAATTTTATGTGGGATATGGACATTACTTCAAAGCAGTTCGTACTCGGGATGCTGAGAAGGTAGATCTCACTAGCATGTACCTGTCCGGTGATGCTACATTATGGTGGCGAACACGTTCTGAGGACAAATCTCGTCTTCCAATTACTACTTGGAAGTCTCTGTCCGCTGAAATGAAGGAGCAATTTCTTCCAAGCAACACGGTTTGGCAAGCCANGTGTCTGACCCTAAGCCTTTCACAGGCAGTCGAAATGCTAAAGAACTCGAGAATTTTATGTGGGATATGGACATTACTTCAAAGCAGTTCGTACTCCGGATGTTGAGAAGGTAGATCTCACTAGCATGTACCTGTCCGATAATGCTAAATTATGGTGGTGAACACGTTCTGAGGACATATCTCGTCTTCCAATTACTACTTGGGAGTCTCTGTCCGCTGAAATGAAGGAGCAATTTCTTCCAAGCAACACGGTTTGGCAAGCCNNGAACACGT